AGAGGGGAAGGGAAGAAAATGCTTTCTTTTTAATTGATGTATAACTCACATACCATAAAATTCACCACTTAAGTGTACAATTCAGTGAGTTTTAGATGTTCACGTGGTTGTGTAAGCATCACCACTAATTTGAAAATGATTTTATCACCCCCAGAAACCCCACACCCATTAGCAGTCACTCCCCATTGCCCCCTCCCCCCAGCCCTAGGCAACCACTAATCTGCTTTCAGTCTCTATGGATTTACCTATTCTGGATCCCACCGCCCACCCCTGTCCCCCCACTGCATGGCATTTGGGGTCTTAGTTGCTTAGCCAGGGATTGAACTCAGGCTCTCGGCAGTGAAAGCGCTGCGTCCTAACCACTGGACTGCCAGGGAATTGCCCCTATTCTGGATTTTTCATATCATTAGTCAGGGTTCTGAATTCCGGGTACCAGGGGATGTGTTCATTTGCTCAAGCAGTGAAACTACATCCAGTACATCATCTACTGGAATCATGCAGTATGTGGGTTTTTATGTCTGGCTTTTTCCACTTAGCATATGATGTTTTCAAGGTTCACCCACGTCAAAGCACGTGTCAGTACTTCTTTCCCTTTTTCGGCTGAATAATATTTCATCGTGCGAATATACTACATTTCAGATATCCATTTATCCATTGATGGACATCTGGATTGTTTCCACCTTTTGGCTATTATGAATAATGCTGCTGTGAACATTGGTGTACAGGTCTTTTTGTAGACCTATGTTTTTACTTCTCTTGAGGCTATACCTAGGAGTAGAATTACGGGGTCATATACTAACTCCGTGTAACCGTTTGAGGAGCTGCCAGACCGTTTTCCACAGTGGCTGCCCCATTTTTGCATTCCCACCAGCAGTATATGAAGGGAAACATCCTTTTACTGAACACCTACCATGTGCTAGGCACTGTGCTAGACCCTTCCCACAGCTCGTCTCCTATGATCCTCACATGAACGCTCTGAAATACCTATCGTCACCTCTATTTTACTGAGGAGGATACTGAGGCTCAGAGAAGTGCCGTGACTCCCACAGGATCACACAGGGGTTAGTGGTAAGTCCTAGATTCACTCCCAGTTCTGTCCCGTACGTTTTCTTGTCTACTCGGTGATTGCTGCCCGAGGGACCCTCCAGGTGCTAAAGTGGAATTAGCCCCCTCCCTCCCCAACCTTCCTGGGTACTGTTTTACAGACGGGAAAGTTGGACCCCCACTACCCAAAGGTCTGCGGGCACAGAGGGAACGTCTTAGACGTCAAATGGAACCCTTTCAATGATTTTGAGATCGCCTCCTGTTCTGAAGATGCCACGGTGAGTGTCAGTGCGTGAGGCGTTTCCCTTTCCCGAGAGGAGTGGGACTGGGGCAGAGGGAGACGGCATGGCGTCTAGACTCAGCTCTGACGTTCCTGGTTCCTTCATCCTTCACGAGGTGAGGTCACTGTGTGCGGAGGGGGTAAGTTAGATTGAGGAGGAGAAGCTCTGGGCTCCGTGGGACTCGGGGCACCACCCCTCCTCTCTATGGGCCTCAGTTCCCCCATCTATAAAATGAGCATAATAGCTCCCAACCGTCTAATGAAAATCCAGTGAGATTCATTTCCCAGTGGGAAAGCCCATCTTTTGGGGGAACTATAAAATGCTGTGAAGGGCATTTTTACTGTGGCCCGAAAATATTGTGCCATATAATCTCATAGACAGTGGGGAGGGAAGATTTAAAAGGATAAGAGTGGGAGCCTTAAATGAATGTGAACACCAAAACCATCCCAAAAGCTTCAGACCCACCAACTTTTTGAGCCCCTGTTCTGTACCAGGATCACAGTCCCTGACTCCACAATATTTGGTGTTATTTATAACGTATTCTCTGCCTACTTCTAAAACCCAGCGGGTATGGCTTAAAACAAAAGACACAGATATGATCACATGATTGAAATAAGGATGAAAGTCATAGTTACCCTTTATTGTGAGCCCATTGTGTTCCTGACTCTCATTACACATATCATTTCACTCAGTCTTCCCAGCAACCCCACAAGGTAGGATGTTTTTCTGATGCAGAAGCTGAGGATCTGAGAAATGTGGCAATTTGCCCAAGGTCACACAGTTTGGCCTGATCCAGAGCCCAATCTTTTTCCACTGAGCTGTTCCACTTCCCTAAAGAGCAGCAGCCACAGATGGAGGAATTTAACTATGGAGGGTTGCAGCTGTTGAATTCCAGGCTTAGCTTGGAGCTGCCTGGCAGCCAAGGCAAAAAAAGGAAATAGCCTCACTATCTGATCAAAGGAAACAGACCCGTTCATAGAGAGAAGCAGGTAGAAAATTCTAAGAGGACTTGTGTCATTTTCCGTATGAGGGTTGCTGAGGAACATAAAGGACAGTGTCTGCTGACGTGGCTTCACCAAAGGGACAGCTGGGCCCTGTGAGAACTGACCTTGTCTCAAATGAGTGTAGGGCTTCTGACAGGATATCAAGTATCTGACTCTGTGTTCACTCCTGGAATACCTGCCCTTTCAGGCGTGCTTTGAAGGCTCCCTTCAAGGTCTTTATTAAATTCCTAGCTAGCCTCATCACCCGTCCCTTCCCAGTTGCCCCGGGGACAGGAGGAGTGGACACAACTATTGGGAGTGGCAGGGATGACCCTCTAGCTCTGAGGGATGGTGTCTGTTTCTACCAAACAGGCCTGCCCAGAGTCTGTCCTCCAACCAGGTCCAGTTCTGTTTGGTAACAGCCCTGACCAGACTCCATCTATCTGGAGCCTGGCACTATTGTGAGGTTGGCTTTCCGGTTTTAAATCCAGGATGACCAGGAAATAAATGCTGAATTAAAAGTGAAGTCTACCTGAAAGCCCATAGATCCTAAGGGAAAGA